ATTGGCTAGACCAGGGGTCCTCAGACTTTTTAAACAGGGGGCCAGTTCACTGACCCTCAGACCGTTGGAGGGCCAGACTATAGCTTAAAAAAATACTATGAACAAATTCCTATGAACACTGCACATATCTTATTTTGAAGTAAAAAAACAAATGGGCAAAAACACCCGCATGTGGCCCTCGGGCCGTAGTTTGAGGATGGCTAACTAGACTGTGTTCCTTGAACTTGACATAAAAGTTGATAGAATATCTGGGCTTCTGTACATAAGACAGACATTTTGGTGGCAAAATTTTGGAGGATGCAACTGTATAAGGAAGGGGCTGAGGAAGAAGAACTAATCAAATACACTAAATAAAAACAACCTAACAGATAAGAAATCAAATACACTAAATAAAAACAACCTAACAGATAAGAACAGATTTAGAGAGAGTAAGTCCACCAAACCATAATAGAAAAGCATTTCCAAAGGAGGAGGACACACAACAGTGCCAACTGCAAGCTCATCTTGACACTCATTGCATTCACTGAAAACCTTGATAGCTAGTTTTAATCGAGAGTCGGCACTGGAGAACAGACTGCTGTTTGAAAAGTAGTTACTAAGTGGATTCTACAAATGAAGGATATTTTGTCAAGAAGTTAGATAGTGAGTTGATAGCTAGCTAGGTTTAGGGTTAGGTAGAATTAGTTTTTCTTTTTAGATAAAGGAAGGTCTGATTAGAGGTAAAGGGCAGTTGCCCAGGGAAGTAGTCAAACTAGATGTGAATCAGGGAAAATCAAATATCAAACTAGATGTGAATCAGGGAAAATCAAATATGTACACAACCAAGCATCCTTGAAGGACAGAACTTACAATAATTTGAGCTTGCTTTCATTATACTGTGGTTATGCATCTAGATGTATTAAGTTTTATTATGTCATGTGTGATGCTAGGCTGCCACGTGGTGGTGATTGTAGATATAGCTTCTATTCTACCCACTTCATACATCATCCTTTTTCTTGATATCAATTGCAACCATTTTCATGATCCTTTTATTTTGTTGTCAACATGGCTTCTTAAGTCTCTTTTTTTGAGTAACATATAACACTGAAAGAAAATATACAACCGAATATACAATGCAAATTACAAAAAGGAATAGTAGGTAAAGTAACAAGAATCAAAAAATCGGTTATAAAACCTAAATACATGATTTTAAAACTTAGCTGAAAACTTTGAAATGACACTTGAGGTTAAGTTATAAAATATATTAACTTTTAAATTATGTTTTGTATTATTTCTATGTGAAAAAATGGTATAACTTTTTAAAATAAGGAAATTCATAAGGATAGAGAAGTGCAAATGATATGTTTAGAAAAGTTACTAATCTTTTCTCAAGCACTAATTTTTCATATTCATTCTAGTAACACAACATGTAATAACTGCAAACCTAACTATGAAAAAGCCATACGATTAAGTATACTTCATTTTTGCTCACTTAATCTGACTTCTTTAATCTCTTTCTATTTGATTCTAACAACTTAGTCATTGTATTAATCCTACAGGTCCATGTAATATGTATAATTTGTATTACATAGTCTATCAGTAAAATGTTGAATTTAGTATTTCTTTTACATACTACCTTACTAAGTATATATGAGCCTTCCTTTCCCATGAAGATTGTTTCCTAAGGGCAATAAGTCACATCACATATTTCTTTTGTATCCTCTACATAATAGATATTCAATAAACACACACTTAATTTAAAATGAATAGATTAAAGGAGATTATCTCTAAAATTCTATAGAAAAAATGCCTCTTTGACCAATGTAATTATTTAAGATTCTAAAAATTTATTTTATTGACCAAAGTGACAAATGTATTCATAGAAATTGTCCTTTGATTAATTCAATTAACTATTAGATTCTATTCAAAATAAGCCAAATGTCTCCCTAAAATTTCAATACTACATGACTAAAGTAATACAGCAGGCCAGGCTTGGTGGCTCACGCCCATAATCCTAGCACTTTGGGAGGCCGAGGTGGGCGGATTGCTCAAGGTCAGGAGTTCGAAATCAGCCTGAGCGAGACCCCGTCTCTACTAAAAATAGAAAGAAATTAATTGACCAACTAAAAATATATATACAAAAAATTAGCCAGGCATGGTGGCACATGCCTGTAGTCCCAGCTACTTGGGAGGCTGAGGCAGGAGGATTGCTTGAGCCCAGGAGTTTGAGGTTGCTGTGAGCTAGGCTGACGCCACGGCACTCACTCTAGCCTGGGAACAAAGTGAGACTCTGTCTCAAAAAAAAAAAAGTAATACAGCAAGACACTTGGGAAGGGTAAGAGAAATTTTAGAAATATTAATGTGCATTGGCTGTTAATCTGTACTATTGATTAAAATTGTACTATTTTTTTATTTCAGCATATTACTGAGGTACAAATGTTTAGGTTACATATATTGCCTTTGCCCCGCCCAAGTCAGAGCTTCAAACATGTCCATGTCCATCCCCCAGATGGTGCACACCACACCCATTAGGTGTGAATATACCCATCCCCTCCCCATCTCTCCCACCTGCCCAACACCAGATGACTGTTGCCACTATATGTGTACATAAGTATTGATCAGTTTATACCAATTTGCTGGTGAGTACATGTGGTGCTTGTTTTTCCATTCTTGTGATACTGCACTTAGTAGAATGGGCTCCAGCTCTATGCAGGATAATACAAGAGATGCTAGATTATGAGAATGGCTTTTATCAAAAAGTCTCTAAACAATAAATGTTGGCATGGATGCAGAGAGATAGGAACACTCATACACTGCCGATGGGACTGCAAACTAGTACAACCTCTGTGGAAAGTAATCCAGAGAAACCTCAAAGAGCTACAAGTAGAACTACCATTTGACCCAGCAATCCCATTACTGGGCATCTACCCAAAGGAAAAAAAGACATTCTAGAAAGACATCTGCACTAGAATGTTTATAGCATCAAAATAGTACCATTAATTAGAGAATTCCCACCACACAAAAAAAGTGCCTAAGTATGTTAAATATGTCAAGCTTTTGAGGCTTGTCATAAATGATTGCTTTGTTTTTCTAAGTCATCAAAATGCATATAAATTATCTAGATTGCATAACAGTCTTCCATGTCTATCATGGTACAATTTAATATGCTATCCTGCCCAACCCTTCCTTTCCTACCCTCAAAAAAGGCCATATGATGCATTGCACACTCTCTGGGGAAACTGATCTTTAAATTTTGAGACAGTATAAGGAAAATCTGGTTGGTATCTCACAAATGAGCAGACACCATTTTTTATTCTGTATATTTAGAATGAAGTCATGAAAAAACTTTATAAAGACATCTTTGATCATTCCAAAAAAAAATAGTACCATTAATTAAAAAAAATTGACATCCTACATAATTGATAGAGAAATCAATAGACTTAAAGGACAAACATGAAATTATGGTTTAACAAATTATCTAAGGTGAATTGCTATGTTGGAATTGGGGTTGATATCTTAATCTACTTCTGCTACCTCTTGTTTTCTATGCTCTAGGAATAGAAAAACATGACTGAGGAAAGACAGTCTAGTTACTAACATGTCCACTCACCAAAACTTTGCCATACCAGCCATCATATCAGATTTACCTTGGGCTTGAAGGTCTTGCTGGGCTGTGCTCAAAGCCAGCAGGGTAGCTAAAAGAAAGAAGGAAAACATCTTTAAGTCAAAGTTTTACCCCCTTCTCTTCTGGAGAAATTTGGCTATCTCATTTATATAGCTCACAGAGAACAATTACAGCATTGCTGCTAACAGGAACACCCTCCCAAGTCTTTTATCGGATGAGATTGCTTTAACTGGAACATTTCCTCTTTAGGACTTATCACCGATTTCATTGTGCTCTGTTATTGGCCTCTGCTGTCTTACTTAACTGTGATGAGAATACAAACAACGGAAGATTAAGATAACACAAACGTAATCACTTGATGATATGGAAACTATTTCAGGGAAGGATCTAGGAAGAACTTTCTGGTTTGTCAGTGGAGGAAAACAAAATCACTAAGGAGAACCACAGAGAGTCTATAATGGAGAGACTCACATTATTGTATGGTATCTAATTTAAGATTTAATTTAGTTCATAGAAAATTGATTTTAAAAAAAAAGTGAAGATTTATGACACGTTATGCATTCCCTCAGCAAAAATGTTGAAGTTGTGGAAAGGGTCCAGGAGTGGGGGGTGATGGGTGGCATTTTTTACAGCACCTTGGAAGGGAAATTAAGACAAATTAGTTTCAATGGAAGGGAATTCGGGAGTAAAAAGAAAAACTTGACTTTCTTGCAAACACATGAAAAGTGAAATCCAATGATTTCTATGAATTCAGGACTTGGCTCTTCCATTTATTATCTCTTTGAACTTCAGCATTAAAACTTAGAGAATTGAAATAAATGCTCACTAAAGACTTATCTTTATCTCACATGCTGGGTGTCTGAACAAAATTTCTAAAGATAGAAACTTTATCAATTCTCAATGAAAAATTGCCCCTCAAAAAAGACCATTGTACTCTTCACTTTACAAGGGTATATAAAAAAAGAATAAAGTAATAAAGTATAATTATTTAATTTTTTTAAAAAGACCATTGTATAGGCATTAGAAAAATGCTTGATTGAGAGAATACAACTAGAAAGGAAAAACTGCTGGGCATGGTGGCTCACGCCTGTGATCCTAGCACTCTGAGAGGCTGAAGCAGGAGGATTGCTTGAGGTCAGGAGTTCGAGACCAGCCTGAGCAAGAGTGAGACACCCGTCTTTACTAAAAATAGAAAAAATTAGCCGGGCATGGTGGTACACACCTGTAGTCCAAGCTACTCAGGAGGCTGAGGCAGGAGTATCACTTGAGCCCAGGAGTTTCAGGTTGCTGTGAGCTAGGATGACGCCATGGCACTCTAGCCCAGGCAACAGAGTGAGACTCAAAAGAAAAGAAAAGAAAAGAAAAGAGAAGAGAAGAGAAGAGAAGAGAAGAGAAGAGAAGAGAAGAGAAAAGAAAAGAAAAGAAAAGAAAAGAAAAACTTTCCCTTTGATCCAAATAATAGAATACAAGAGTTAAGTGTTTATGTTCTGAAGTCAGATGTAGTTTCAAAGTCTGCCTTCATCATTTACTAGTTGTGTAATGTTTACAAACTAGTTAACCTCTCTAAGCTGCATTCTCTTCATCTGTAAAAAAGAAAAAGTAACAATTAACTCATAGAATTTTTGTGATAAATAATATTACATGTATAAAGTGCTTATCTTGGCACATCATAAATGTTCCATAAATACTAGTGATAATGAAGATGATAATAATGATATGGATATTCCTTAGGATACATGCGTTTCTTCTTTTGTGTATTTACCGCAGGATGAAACAGACATACTGACAGCATGTAATTAGTATACAAGGGGTGTGGGGCAAGTTGGTCAGACAGCCAAGCAGAAGGTTAAAACCAGAGACAGGCTCCAAGGCAGTGGGGACAGTGTCTTTGGAATGGAGGAGGGAGACACTGGCAGAAAAGAACCAGAGCTATTGCAGAGAGAAGGTAATGTTGCCACCAAAAGGCTTTTTATTTCTAACTTTTATACAAGGAATAAGGGCAGAAATTAGAAGATAAGTAGAATAGTCAGTGTCAAGGAGAGAGTTAAGAGCAGTGTAGTATTAAGAAGTGAGAGATTATGGTGGAACATAGCAGCACACTGCAGGAATGGCAGGGTAGGTGCAGGGCGCAGTGACCAGATGAACATTGTGCTGTTTTTAGAAATAACACAAAAGTAGTCTTAAGAGTGAACAGAGCACCAGATATTATAAACATAGACTAATTTCACATAGTGGTTCCACTACTGTCTTCTGTTAAGTCCCGTATTCTTATATTAATGTGTTCCTTGGGTGAATTTCTACAAATATATTATAGCTTTATCCGAATATCTACTTTTTTGAATTTCTTTACTATTCCGAATAGTATATTTATTGACCATTTACACGAGGCATGATTTTGGCTAAGCAAAAGTAATCCCTACACTAAGTAATCCCTACACTCATTCCCTACAAGAAATTTCATAAGTATGTACTATTATTATTCCCATTTTGCAAGTGAGGACGCTAATGCCTCTTCAAGGTCACACAACTAATGATCAGCGAGATTCATACTCAGGCAGTCTGATTTCAAAGCCCCCAGCATCTTAGCCCTGATTTTGGTTATGATTGAGCATTTGAATTAATTAATACTGGGTATAAAACAAGCTAGAAAGAGAGAAAAAGGAAAGAAAACTTGTATTTATTAAACAATTGCTATGTTGAGATAGCAAGGCACTACTCCTCATTTAGTCCTTGTATAATAAAAAACATGTAAGATGGGTGAAGTGTTCCCCATTTTTTTTCTTTTTATTTCATCATATTACGGAGGTACAAATATTGTTAAGGTTACATATATTGCCCCTGCCACCCCTCCCCGCTGCCATGTCAGAGCTTCAAGCGAGTCCATCCTCCAGGTGGTGCGCATCGCACTCATTATGTAAGTATACACCCATCCCCTCCTCCCCCCTCCTGTGTTCCCCATTTAACAGGTGAGAAAATGGAAACTCAGCAAGGTTAGTTGCCCAAGTTTAAATGTTAACACACACTATGATAATGGGACACCATCCAAAATATCTGTGGCTTATTAAACTCCTTTCTCTTCCTGCTGAAGTTTTTATAGTTTTCCTGAGAAATAATTCAGACAACACTCCTCCTCACTTTTCTGAATGAAAATACTAAGTAACCAGACTGTGGTTCTTTGGCCTGATTCACACAATTTGAAGAGTATTAGAATTTCAGTTTAGAAAATTTTAAAAGCTGTATTCTTCAAAGCAGTATAAAGACAATAAGAAAACCAGTAGTAGAAGCTGGGGAAACCATCAGCTCACCTTGGCACTGTGTGTTTCCAAAACCAACATTAAATGCCTTTAACTACGAGAGGAGAGCTAGATTCTACGTGGATTTTCATGAGTACTGGAATCTTCCATTTCAAATCTGAATCCTCAAAGGGCCAATTCCTGAAATGTTACTTCTTCTTCAAGGGCTCCATCTAGTGGTGCGAATTTGAGAAAGCGCAACATGATATTCATGGGTAACCAAACATGGTCTTCTAAACTGACATCTACCATTTGTGCTGTCTTTACAAAATAGTATTGTTTCTAGGGTATATGCAAAAATGTACCTATGGTATAATTAAGATTATCTCTCGGCCGGGCGCTGTGGCTCACGCCTGTAATCCTAGCTCTTGGGAGGCCGAGGCGGGCGGATTGCTCAAGGTCAGGAGTTCAAAACCAGCAGACCATACTACTTAGCTTTTTGAAAGAATACGCCATCATTTCTCTCGTATTACTGCCCACCAGTCAATCCACGATAGATCTCTATCTCCACCACCAGTGACAAATACAAAATCCTCTCTTTCACGAAGTGGGCAAAATAGATTATTAATCTTAGCCACTTGTTTATTCACCATATACACTTTATACCACCATAAGTTAAATTATTTAGTATATGATGTCATTTTATAGCATCAATTGATATGCAAAGACTGTACGACATAATTAAATCATGAGAGCTAAAATTCTTGCAGTCTAAAGGTCTAATCTTAACCCTGGCAATATGAACATACTACGTAATCAGTTTTTTTGAGTTTGCACACTATACATTATCAAATATGATTCAAGACGCAACTTGAAATAATACATTTACCAAGTCAACAGAAATAGTGTTCCTCCTTTACATGAGGTTTAATTGCAGCAATAACACAATAAAGAAGTTAAGCTCCATGACACATGGAAATAATAATTGATCTATAGTGATGGTATTATACACTCAATCTAAGCAAACTGATTAAAGTGCAGATAAAGCATTTATTACAAAACCATTTGTCATAATATAATGTCGTATCTTGAGAACTACATAATTTTGACACTATTTTAAATAGAATGGTTAAACTATGGATGATGAGTTGAAAAACTGAAATATACTAAACTCTAACAATGCACCCGCCTGTTCACACACATGTAATACTCCAATACCCAATCACATTATCAGACCATAAATCAGTAATCACACCATTCCAAGCAACAACTATAGGCGAAACCATTTGAGGAGACAATATTTAACAAAATCGTACTTGATTGGTTTCCACGCTTATGCTAACTTATATACGAATATAGTGATGAGCAAAGGTAAACAAATATAAGAAGATATTTCTTTTATTAGGTCAATAATCACAAACAAATTTATGCTCAATGTCTAAAATCTAAGACTTCCCTATTCCACTATGACCGCTATTATGCCTCATCTAGGGCAGGAAAGGAGAAAAACACAGAATTTATGAAGGATCTACAGTTTGAGTAGCTCAGACTGTACCAGACTTTGTCATTTAAAACTAGCCATACGCCCATCTTACTTAAAATATACAAGGAAGTATATCAATCAAATTTCGATTTGGGTTCACGGGGCTTGTATCCAGCTACTCATCTGCTCAATCAGGCATGAAAGAAGTAGAGCCAAGATTGATAAGAAGTATCTAGTGCAGACAGGCTTGACATCCACCGTCTCATATCCTTGCCTAGCGTGACATGTTCTCTCTAACTGTCACATGCAAAGTCAATACTTGCAACTCTTCTAAAGAACTATAATCATGTACATAAAAATATTGCTGTCTTTCAATTGGCTCTATTTCAGGTCTGAACAGTGATCCTCTGTCACCTGCCTGCCTTAGTTTCCTCTTCTTGTATGTTCCTGTTCATGATTCTTCATGCACATAAACACTTATCTTTGTGCTCAATATCACTTTTGCCCATTCGCAAATATGTTTAACATCCAATGGCGACTGTTGCCACCACTGTCCCTCAATTGTCAATACCAAGTTAGCCCATCTCGCTTGCTGGTCATATAAATTACACACAGAATTATACCCTTATCTTTTTACCATATATCTACATCATAATGTAATTTATATTTTTCAATATTCTATAGCTGAGTAATTAGTAATTCTTATTCTGGCAGGCACGGCAAGTCCAAATGAAATCCAATTCAACTCCATTATAATTCTGAATGCTAAACAGCAGGACTCGTTGTATATTTTTATCATATATTCGCGTAAAATGAATCCTGCCTTCCAGTAAGTGTGGGAGTGTTCTTATCAGAAGACTATCCATGGCACCAGTGCAAGACATCGATCAACTCAGAGAAGGGAAACAATGGTCAGAAATACAATTTCCTTGCGCAGCCTGTAGAATCATGTCACAAGTACTGGGACACCGCAGAAATGGCGAACCAATATTTCGGTAGAGTGGTCAGGCCACTAGGTTCCTGCAGAGTTCAGTCGAGCAGATAACCCTACTAATAAATAGAAGTGTGCTAATAAGGAGAGGCCCATATTCTAAATAACCATATCCCTTACTTTTAGATCAACTATAACCATGATTACACAACCTATTTAACTAGCTATATCAAGTTTTCAGAGCTACTTCTAGCTTTAAAGAACTCTGATCTAGATAAAATACACTCGAGATCATAAATATTTGTAATATACTCAACATGACCCCACCTTCCCAATATCATATGAATCTATGCGTACTACTATTGAAATCCATATTCCACGATTCACATTGGAGTACAGAATCATTAAAAAGAAAACTTAGATAAACGTGTGTCTGGAACTATACATCATATCATGTTCCTATGTAGGAAATGACAGGAATATATGGCAAATTACACATTAGTATAGGTGAGAGAATATAAGAAATGTACACAAGTGATCACTACCCACCACTGTTGCTTAGAGTACCTGTCTCTAGACCAAACAACCAGTGTATCGAATACGATAAGAGAGATGTTCATAATGCCACGTTAGTAAGAAAATATTATCTTTCTAATTGGAAACAACAACAAACAATGTCAGAAACTCACGGCCCGAGGTTCATCCTCGTCATGTATATCAGTATCCCAATCCTAAAGCAACGAATGAAATATAGTCTCCCATGGCACACGAACAGACAGTCGATTGTGAAACCAAGCAAAAAACCTACTCTACGAGCCTAATGAACATCCAAGCAGAGACGAGCATAATAAGGGACCAAGGAAACAAGGTCAGAAGACAGAAAAAATGAAACCCTGTAACTAGGAGGCCCATCATGTGTCGCCTCTGTTTTAAACG